AGACCGAACGACGTCAACAAGTGTGGCAAACACAGTGCTCATAGGGAAGTGCCCGAGCCACCAAGGCTGCAATGAATGACAGAAGTGAACTGGCTGGAACTGGACAAAAGAGTCTCCTAATATTGCATAAATCCTCTAAAACCGCTCTTTTGGTTATAAAATACAACAAAAAAATCTCGCTCGCTCCGCTCGCGGTTTTCTATAATCAGGGCCCCCTATCATGATCCTTTAAGAAAAGAGCATTTAACCCTTATATATCCTGTCGCATACGTCAGCGCCAGCATTCACACAGTCTACCTTATTTATGTTTGAAAAGGAAAAAGGTTACAATGACGGACAGATTCCTGGATTTAATTTTGAAAGACGTAAAAAAATTATTATCGTCAAATTGAAACGTAACGAGGCGGGGGGGGGGGGCAATGTCCCAAAATAGGGCTCTGCTATGTAGGTACATTTTGCGCCCAAAAGGTAGGTACACAGAGTGGTTTGCACGGGTACACAGGAAAATTGTGGGCGCCACTGCGTGCGACTGTAAACTCAAAGTTGGCCTCGGGTAAGTGTTTCCCGCGTGGAAACAGTGGAACCACTGGGAAACATAACCCCACTTCATGCCAGCACAAAGTACAGTACTAATGTTTTGTCGTTTTTATATTTGTGTCACCAGGTGTCATCAACAATCGAATCAATTTTTCTAAGCTTAAATCTTTGTTCGCTTCCATGAACATGCCTATGATGACGTACCAAACCTTCAAGAAGTATGTGCGTAATGCAGGAAGATTGAGGAGGCTGCAGAGGAAGATAAAAGAAATGAAGCTCACCATCCGGGACACTGCCGCCCTCTAGCGGATTCTGGAAGGTAATTGTACTACATTGTTAGCAAAAACAAATCAGAAAGAGCAGTTAGTTCATGGGACTGTGGTGGGGCAAGAATCATATTAAACAATATAGCGTTAACTGTGTACTTTCTCAACCAGTCATAGTGAAAGCAATTTTTTTCCAAAAGTACTATATACATCTAGTCACCACAGCATATTTTTACATTCTTACACAGAAAAGTTGAAACACCAAGCCAAACACTACGGTAGGCGAGAAGAGGCATCACAATCAGGGACCTTGTTTTACTTCAGAACAACTAGCCAGGTATTTCCTGTTTGATGTTGGTTTAAAACCGTGCGCCTCGCTGCTGCCGGGGTTTCGGCTACATGCCATCGCCCCCTCCCAATAAACCTGCCCCAGACGCGCACGCCCTTCAGCAGCAGCAGGTGCAGCTGTCGGCCCGTGCGCACCTGGGGGAGGAAGGGGGGGGGGGGCACCAGCAGCTAACTGGGCCCGGTAATGCGCCGACGTGATTTGCATAGCAGAGTGCCGTGGGCCCGGCCCGGCCCCAGTAGGCAACATTCATACTTCGGCTGCGTGTTGTTTACCCTGTCCTGTCGCCACGCCCCGCCACGCCCCGCCACGCCCGCGCACGTCCCCCGCTGATGGGCCCTACGTGGTCTGATGCCCGAGGAAGGGCGGGGTGCGCGTACACCAGCCGCGCTAGACGTAGAGACGCCCACACGCTACGCGCCGCCACCTCCCCCGCGTGCTCGCATGGACTCACTTAGTCACTCACGCGCATACGCGCTTGAATTCCCTTGCGCGCGCACCTCTCCCTCCGCGCGCCCGTTCACTCGGTTGGCATGCCAAAAAAGTATGCAGCAGGGAATCCCTTTCTGCTGCTGCCTGGCGCTGCTGCTCGCCCCGAGGAATGCTGGCCCCCAGCTGCCGCCGCAGTCCGTCGTCGTGCACACGCCCTCGCCTCACTCCTCACTTGGCCCGGCTGGGCGATTCATATCGTGATTCGGGCAGTCTTTATGGACAAGGCTTCCTGGCGAGCGAGACGGGCCGCGACAGGAGGTTGGACAGCCACAGCCGACTGGCGCGGCTTGCAGAAGTGGCTTCCTCTTGAAATTTCCGATGGGTCAACGGTAACATCACGATGCGTCGCAGTCACAGTCAGACAATCTCTGCTTACAGAGGAAGCGGGGTCCAGGCGGGATCGAGGCCACGAGGCGGGCACAGAGGCAGGCAAAACCTTCTCCCGGAGGTATACCGGGCCTACCAGAACGGACGCTTTAGTTTTGCGGGATTGTATAATCGCTTGGACCGCGGCATATGCCATGGCGAATTATCCAGAAAGTACAAGAGCTCGACGCCTGCGAGACTCGGGGTAGGCCAACCCGCTGTACACGCTTGCGCTGCTGGCAAGATATTGCCTACCCATCAGGCTCCACGAGAGTCCGCATTGGCTGAACTCAGCAGGTTTTTTTAAACTTCGAATGACGATCGCACTCTCTGGATGATCCCTTCTTACGGACGGAGGGGAGGGAGTAAGTATGCTCCTTCAACGAAAAAAATCCATGCCGCACAGTATGATTACGAAAGTGGCCAAGACTTATCCCCTTCTTCTGCTTCACCATTCTATTGGTCGAAGTGGACGCGGGCCGTTTTCACCCATCGGGTCATGAGCAGCAGTGCCCGTCATGGCGAGTAGGCGCTGCTGACATGGTCAACGTCCGCCGCATTAGTAGTTCATGGCATAACGCCTGATGGCCCCGCCACATGGCAGGGCACCCCATGCCCATGGCAGGCCCCGCTGGCAGCGCGCCGCTCCTCCGCACGGACGCGCCAATACAAACACACGGCACAGCCAAAGGAGCTCGACATGAGGTGCGCGACACTACAGGCCATGTCCGGGCCGCGTACAGTGCGTGGGAGGGAGGAAGGGCGGCATACTTGTGATTGAGAGCCCATGGGCGCCCCCCGACCCGCTACCCACCCGGCGTCCTCAAAGTCAGCCCATGTCGGCCATACTGATCACAGGAGATGTCCGGGCGGATAGGGGCGCCCATCGATACCGCTGTGGGGGTCTGACAGACAGACAGACAGACAGACAGACAGAGACAGAGAGGAGTCAGAGGGATACCTCTCTCACACACACGGGCGCGCGCGCTGCATTTTTGGGTGCCATTCGGCGGCGCGGCGGCGAGTCCTTTCATACTGGCCGCCCCTCGGGCCGCCCTTGGCGCCATCCTGTCCTACTGCATCCCCGCATGCTAAGTGGCCGAAGGCCGGGTGCCCGAGGCGGCCCGAGGCCCCGCGCCGCCGCGCCACCCATAGATCGACTACATATGACGGCCCTGCGTGAGCTGAATCAACGTGACCGCCCAGAGGTAGGCAACCCATTCGACACCACACTGTCGTTGGCCGCGGTTCGTGCGGTCGGCGGGAGTGCTGAGAGAGAGAAAAAAAAAAAGCTCTTCACGTCGCTAAATAAAAGCCCTGTCTGTAAAATTTACGAGTTAGATTTTTATTGCTTTCACTTAATCCACTTATTGCGAGTGACGTCGATTTTATACAAATTGACATAGTTTTGTTGTTGTGTCTTTACCGGTAGACGGAACAAGAAACATACTTGTTTCTTATTAGTAGACTAAAATTAAATATATGGTTTATAAGAAAAAAATCAGGTACAGCACCTACTTCTAAAACAATCGAAGAAGATTAAATTACAATTCATACTTTTAAAAAAATAATTCTTAAACGATTAGTCAGATTGTTATCACACTTAGTTGCAGAGTCGGATGTTTGAAGTGCACGGCTTCAAAGAAAACAAAGTCTCATATTCAACGGTTTGAAGAGTACGTATGGATCACACAAAGTGTGTGTCTCGTTCACGTGTTCCTGAGCAGATAGTCCAGCAGCCCGCCGGGGGTTTTCAGGGGCCGCAGGTGGTTGTCATCACCCTCCACTTCTTTCAGTCTCATCACCGCCAGGACCTCGGTGTACAGCAAGTGCTTCGCGTTGCGTGCGAGCAGGAAGTCGAAATGATTAAAACTGGCGTCAGGTACTTTAAACTTGTGGAAGAGGTTGGGCAGCTCGGCAGCCAGCCGGTCCACATCCTAAATCAAAAGTGAGAAAATTAAATCATTGAATTGTGCGAATTTAAAAATAAATCTGAACCACGAGAGCGAGGCAGGGCTTACCGGCGGGTGGACGAAGTAATCATTTTCCGAGTAGTACAGTGCGACCGGCGCCGTGATGGCACTGATGTTGTATTCTGGTCCGGGGTTCGGGTCGCCCGTGCCGTAGCCGAGGGGGCGAAATTTACCTGAGCAGCTCAGAAAATATCCCTCCAGTAAAAATGTGTTTTCGGCTCAAATTACAGTGCTAGGCTATACAGTATTACTAACCCGTCCTTGCCACCTCGTAGTAATGTTCCATGATACGTATGGTCGTCCCGGACGGCAGGTACGCTGCGATCATCGGCATATAGTACTGAAATAGGAAAAGGGCGGGACGCTGTTTACTTGTTTGCCTGACTCGCACATCCACGACACCAGTCTCTGTCCACACTTTCTCCGTGTTTGCAAAGGTACTTAGGCCCTTACCCGACGGTTACAGTACAGATAGACAGACCCATCGTATGGCGTAATGACGAACGCCGTCGAGTGTACCCGGTAAATATCAGACAAGAAACGCATTTTTGAGGCCGTTTAGGCCATGTTCCTCCATGCGAGAAGGTCGTGCTCACCGGAAAGACGTTCTCCGGGGAGCGGCCGCCGATCTCGAACAGGACGGGGTTGCAGACCGTCTCGCCGACGCCCGGGAACAGGCACAGCACGTCGGCGAAGCGGTGCAGCGCGGCGCTGCGGGGGAGCACGTTCCAGATGCCGTGCGCCAGCAGGAACGCCTTGATGGCGGGCGCCACGGCCGAGAGCTGCCTGAAGAGCCGGCTGCGCAGCGTGGACACGAAGGCGACGGGCGCGAGGAAGGACGCCAGCCGCACCTTGCCGTTGTACTCGGGCCGCGAGGACAGCAGCACCATCAGGCCCGTGCTGCCCATGGAGTGGCCGATGTAGAACAGGTCCGGGGCGCCCGTCCGCTCCAGCACGTGGTCGATCATCGCCGGCAGGTCGTGCAGGCCCATCTCGTGCCAGCTGCAACAGCGCGAGCACACTGAGGTGAGCAGCACGACAGCCGGAGTGCGCGCGTGGGGTGCGAGGGCGGCCCTGGTGTCTACCTGAAGTTCCAGAACTCGAACATGTCGGGCGTCATCTTGGCGTGCACGTGCGGGGACACGGCGTTCCCCCGGTAGTTGCCCACCCAGACGTCGTAGCCCGCGTCGCTCAGGAACAGCGCTGTGGCGAGACAAGGGATTGGTAAAGCAGAACGTCGTTGTTGGTGGCCGCGCGGGCGTGAGGACACGGAGAGACAGGAGACTTACGCAGGTTGCCGTCGTCCTTGCGCAGCAGGTACGCGTCCGACGACATGAGCATGCCGTGCTGCACCAGGACGGGGGGCAGGCCGCCGGCCCGCGGCGCACCCCGCCGGCCCACCACGTGGATGAGGGCCAGCACGTAGCCGTCGGCCGTGTGCACGAGGTGGCGCTCGCACTGGAAGCCGCGCTGCGCGCACAGCTCCACCTGGCGGGCACCGAGGGAGGGGTGTTCTCATTCCTCTCAGAAGGGGGATCCTAAACTACGTCGTACTGCTCCACCGCAGCCCGGCCGGCGACGCAACTCGTCGCCGAGGTGTCAGTGTGTGTTCACCCGGTGTTCACTTCACGACTCGTAAACGTGGTCGCGTACAAAGGCTTGCCGGGGGTGGAGTGGGGAATAAAGTACTAAGTATTAGTGCCCAGGTAGCAAACCGTATAACGTGTCCAATCTTTTACGCGCATTTTATGCGCATGTATGCGCCTTGAGTGCGCATTTTATGCAGTTTTCTATGCAGCCCTGCTACCCATATAGTAGCGCCAACGCGCGTTGGCGCGCGTAAAATTTGGGTACTGCGGTGCGCATCCAAACAGGCCTCGCAGGTCTCACAGTTTTGGGCGTATTCAATGCGCATTACGCGCACTAAATTTGCAAGTTACGCACCAGTTATCACCGGCCTCGCGCTACTGGGGACTGGGGCGAAGGTCTAAGGTTGGCTTAATGCGCCTCTGCAATACGCGATGAGACGTCACTGTCACTGGCCGAATATGGACACGGCAGGGGTACTCCGCCAAAGTGTGAAGTGACAAATGACCTTTGTGCTCCATAGCCCCCCCTACGTCACCTGGATAGGGTATTCCACAGTAAACAAACAACCGGGACCCTAAAGACAAAAAAACATTACTGATCGATATATTGTTATATCAAGTTAAGCCAAGCCGAACGCGCAAGCCCAAGCCCAAGCCGAAACTCAAGCCCGATGTGACGAATTTTTCGGATTAAAGTAATGCCAGTAACACGGAATTCTTGCCCCAGTAGCACAAATGCACTTAAATACACACTAGCTGCGGCAATGCGCGTAAAAATGAACTCTGAAAACACTAAAAACATAACTTTAATCCGAAAAATTCGTCGCATCGGGCTTGAGTTTCGGCTTGGGCTTGAGCTTGCGCGTTCGGCTTGGCTTAACTTGATATAACATATGTCTCCTCCTGCGCGGTCATTGGCCGAGCGCGAGCGCCACATCGACGCCATCGTTGCCCAATCAGCGCCAGGAGGAAACGGATCGAGCAATCATGATTTTCGTGAACATTTAATCAGAATCTACCTGCGACAAGCTGGAAATAATTATCCGACACGAGCTCGACCAACCAGCGTGATATTTTATACGTTATTATGAACAAATTTGGAGAAATGGTTGCAGCTATGCTATGAACAATTTGGCCCATAACTGTGTATAAAATAATTCGCAATAGCGCAGAGAAGAACGTTAGTGCGTATTAAAAAGTTCATAAGAATGTAGTGTGACCACTGGAAAAACAAAGGTAGGAATCAACACCCTTCTCGGGGTGTTAATGACTTTCGTGCTCTTACAGAGGCACTAACGGATTCACACCCCTGGAAAGGCATAAAAATGCCCCAAAGGTGCTAAATTTCAGTGCCTCTGGGGACTTTTGTGCCTATCTAAAGGCATTAAAATTTAGCACCTTGAAAAGGTACTAAGTCCTACCAGTTTTTTTTTCAGTGACCGCTCTTTTAACGGTATAACAGACGCGATTCGCGTGATCCCACACTAACAATAATTATTTTTAATGGCGCCACGGAATGTTCTAACGGCCGCATCGGTAAATACAAAATTAATAGACAATAGAAACGGGTTTTTATTTTAGGGCGCTCACCGAGCTGGGCGGAGGCTCCGGATACGGCGGCTTCCAGGGCTTGTGCACGGTGTGCGGTTGCACGTCGGAGGCGGCGGCGCTGTGCTCGAAGGGGACGAGGCACTGCTTCACCACCCGCAGCACGTGCAGCATGGTGGCGTTGAGGGTCTCGTGGTCGACGGCGTGGCCAGGGGTGTGGCCGAGCAGCGTCGAGGTGGTGGCTCCCGGGACGATCACGACGATGAGCACGGCGAGCGCCAACGTGCGCCACCAGGACCTCGGCCACGACATGGCCGGGGTCGAGGAACCACTACCGGGAACAACTCGACGCTTGACACATGGCTGCCCTCCACGCGAACGCGACAACACATGAAAACAGCCAGACTTACCTGCTTTTCTAAACGATTATTTTAGTTATGCTGTGGATTGTGGCGACTCGCCAACGCCCGCCGGCCGCCGGAACCCAGGGCCTGAAGCAGCTGCAGCAGAAACAGCCCAAAACAGCCGCCGTCTCCCCCGGCCGGCCTGCGGCGAGCTTCTGGGCGACAAGCGGACTGCCGCTGCCGCTCGCGGGTGCCGATGTTGATGTTGGGGCTGCAGCGTGCAGCGCTGCTGCTGGAGCCGAGGAGCCGGAGCGAAGGCCCAGCAGCGCCCAGCGGAGCCAAGCAGAGCGCCAACAAACAAAACCGACAGAACCGAACCACACGTCGCAGACACTCGCAGCCCCACCCCGCCCCGCCACAACCCTTCCCCCCTCTCCTCCCCGCTCGCCGTCGCGTCAGCTTCTGGTCCAGAGGGTTCATCGGATGATGGGGCAGAGGACGCGCGAGCGAGGGTAATAATGCTATATATGCGCACTGCGGGGAAATCCGAGGGGGCCCCCCGGGTGCCCCACTATAAAACTCGTTGTACACGAGGGAAAATACTCGCAAGATACTCGCGATTCTCGCGGTAAATCGCGAAAAACTCGCGAAAAAATCGAGAAATACTCGCCAATACAGCAGCTCTACAAACTGAAACTCCTATATATATGCAACCCACAAAACAACGCCCCCTGTCAGCCGGACCTGCCAACCGCGCCTGGAGTCCGTGCAACTGCAGTGCACGGTCGCGGTCAAGGCCATGGGCGTAGGGCGTCGACTCCAATCCCGGCGGTATAACCGCGTAGCCGGAGCCGGGCCGGTTTGCACAGGAGGAGAGAGAGAGGAGGAGGCCTCTAGCTCTACTTCTCCCTCGAAACATTTCTTCCTTGCGTTCTTCTTGCCCGACGTTACCTCAGGTCCTCTATGGTGGAGCTGAACATTATCGCATTTGGTCGAGCCTCCACCTCCACCTCCACCACCGACGTGACTCTCAACTAATCGGATAACGTTTGTGTTGTACCCGCTATTCTTCAACCTTCTTCAGCCGAAACAGAATATTCCAGCATACACAGGAAAAAGTTGAGTGTGGGGTGGGAAGAGGGGGGGGGGGGCAGTTCCAGCCGGGTGCAGGTCTGGATAGTATATGTATTATTGCGAAATCTTTCAACTCATTCAGTGCTGCGCGGCCACAATGTGGTCACGTTTTCCTGTTGTTGTTTTTCCAACCCCAAGATGCACAGCCCCACTGGACGTGTCAATGATGGCAGGATGGGGGCGGCGTGTACTCCATTAGCATCACCCCTCGAAAATAAAAAAAGGCTTGCGATCTTTTGAAACGACCTCGCGAATTAGCACATTGTGAGCACTGAGGGAGCGCCAGCGGAACGAGATGCATCCACGCGCGAACGACAGACCGTTTTCATTCGGTCAGCAAAAATATGAATCGGCCATGGTCAGGCGGCGGGGGTTCCGGCTCGGCCGGCGAACTCCGCGTGCGGTAGGCGCTACCACCCCAACCGCGTCTTGCGAACTCACGGGTGGGGGGGGGGGGGGGCTATCCAAAGCGTTTTCCTTTAATTCGACACAGTTTAAGGCTTAGGCCGTTTGACCGCCGCACGTATGGATTCCGGATTCTGGCCCCGTCTCTCTAAGCCCATTTCGATGCAAAATGGCTGAAGTGTCACCTAACGAGTTCGCAAAGCACACTAAGTAGTGTATTAAGCACGCCGCCACACGACGCCAGCTTTTCGAGAAAAACTTGGTAAGAAATACTAATTTGCTGGGGCTGGGAGAGGCGGAGGAGCGCGCCTGAAGAGCGAGCAACCCATCGAGCAGCAGCACCGAGCGTGTTGGGGCTAGGCGAGGGGCGCCCGCCGCGCAGGCAGCCCAACTGCCTCCGCGACCGCTGCGCGCTGCGCCTGGCGCCCTAGGCCGCCCAGCAGGCGTGCGCCGCCCGCGGGGTAGGCCACCGCATCGACGCGACGGCGCGGCGCGTAGCCCGGGGCGGCAGCAGCAACAGCAGCGGCAGCAGCAGCAGCAGCAGCAGCGGCAGCAGCAGCGGCAGCAGCAGCGGCAGCAGCAGCGGCAGCAGCAGCGGCAGCAGCAGCGGCAGCAGCAGCGGCAGCAGCAGCGGCAGCAACAGCGGCAGCAGCAGCGGCAGCAGCAGCAGCGGGGCCTAATTGCCGCTGCACCTGCGAGACTGCTGCGACTCGACCGGTTTTGGCCATCGTGTCTGTCGGTAACTCCGACCCGACCCTCCCCCCTCCCCCCAACCAACCTACCGGAATCTGGAAGGGCCAAGGGCTCCGGAGCATCCTCCGGTGGCAACCAGAATGTATCAGATCAGAAGAGAACCCCTTAAAAGGTAACCGCGCGGTCCCGCGGGAGGAGCAGCGCAGTTGCCGCCGCGCCCGTCGCGCCTCAAGCTTTAGGGCCAGAGTAAATGAAGAAACTTAATAACCCCGGAACAAACGAACAAACGCACGAATCTGCAGCGCAGCGCCCGCGGGTGGTGGGAGTGGGGGGAGGGGACTCACGCTTTTGGTGGAATAAGACGCAAGTGCCGTGCCGCGTGCACTAGGAAGGTCCGGCACAGCCCCGCTGACTAATTCACACATTACCAAATTATTGCCGTCCAGTCGTGCTCGCGGCCAGCGCAGCTACGGCTTCGCTACAGCTCACGTATACTCGCCCGGGTGTAGATCTTTCCGCGTCGGTGTGCGTGCGTCAGCTCTCGCCGGTCGGGCCCCCGGGGGCGCGCGGGGGCCCCGCGGGGCTGGCGGCCCTAGGGCTGGCCCACGGGCCCGTACGGGCCCACAGGGTGTTGTGTGCTGCTCCCGAAAAGTTTCCGTCTGATTTCCATCTGCCTCATCCCCCCTATGAATGGCGGGGGGTTGGGGCGGGGGGAGGTGTGGCGACCCGCAAGAACCGAAAACATCAATGAAATTAGGAGAGGGAAGGTCCAAAACCTTCCGACGCTGAACGTGTGTAATTGCCCCCGGGACTCGAAAACGTTTGCATAGATCAATTAATCAATAGATTTAAATAGAAAACGATAGACTGTACCATGACATTTAAGGTTGCACAACGGTTTAAAAACGTCAATTGAGGCGAAAGGTAGCACTTCGCCTCGTGCGTGTGCTCCGAAAGTAATTAGACGGTCAAGTGGAAAGTTTTGTCGCCAAGAACTGCTAAAGAAAGGCGCACCTTAATTGTTTAGCTGCAATTAGCCATTAGCCACGAGACGGACGGGGGAATATGGATAAAGTAAGCTGTACGCCGTACTGCGATTCTATGTTGAGGCTGATAACAGTTTCAACTCACACGCGAGTGCGTGACGCGTGCTCGACACGTGCGTGAGGTTGCGGTAAAGCACGGTGGGACGGGACACATTCTGCCGCACTTCAGACGCGCATAATATTCCAAGGCTGATCACTCTTTACTCCCGCTCGTCCACTCCTCACGGCACGTCATACTCTCCTCCGCGCGTGTCGGGGCGTCTCTCTTCTCTTTTTTTCTGGGGCTATAGCGGTGTGCGGGTGTTGTGGGGGCTCTGTTGTGGGGTGGCGCCGTTTGGCGGTTTTTTTTTTACCCTTTTTTTTTGTAGCAAAGAGATCGATAGCGTAAAGAAGTCCCGCTTCAACACGGTGGCGGAGGGGGTGACGCAAATGTGCAATTAGAAAGAGATGTCGCTAATTATGGTCACTGTTCCTGTCGGCGAGATGATGACGAGAGAGAAGAACTCCTGTGGCGTGGGTTTGTAGTTGCAAGCAGCGCAAGGGTGTTGCGGGTTTGCCTATACTCTCTCCAGCCGTAAGACGTCGTGGGTCTCCGTGAAGCTGGGGGATGAAGGTAACCCAGCAATACAGTTGCGCAAGCACAGACACGCGGTGTCTGAGCTGAGTATACTCAATTTTGTTACAGTTTTGCTGCTTATTGGTTGCTGGGGAATTTTCTAAACTTTTCAAATCAAGAAGTGCTGACCACAGGTTAAGACATTCAAGTGTGTAACTGACAGTTGTTAAACACTTGCAAGTGCTAAACACGGTTGTTGTGCATTTGTAAGTGTTCAGCTAGTTATAAAACTCACAATCAGTTACGCTTCCCTCATGGGACGTTTAAGG